TCCCAGCATCTCAGTACAAGACAATGCTCTTCACCCTCAGTCTCCACATAAAACCCAGCTCACTAAACTCCCCTTCTTTCTGCAGGTCCTCCTCTTGTGCCACACAGTTCACCCTCTTACATCAACTTTATTGACTAAAAGTTATCTTTATTTGCAAGAATGGGAAAGACTCTGTTGGGTCTTTCATCTCTAGTTTTTCACTTCATCTCATCTCTCATCAGTCTGTATTATATATTCTAGACCACTGTTTTCCAGTCTCTGCTTATTAATGAAACAAACAGCTCCATGTGTGACAAAGTTAATGAAACTTGCTTTCTAATGGCTAAGAAATTACAGGTTGAGCAGCAGCCCCAGCCAGCCTCCATATTCTCTCTGCAATAACCCCAGTGCTCTCCCACAATTCCAAGTTATTCACGTAGCCACTCACAGCACTGGAAACATTGAGGGAAGGGGTTAAGAACCTGTCCACCATTTTGGTGTAATGGATCAACCTGGACACATTTTAAGAAGCACGAAATTACAAAATTTGTTGTTATCAGGTTTGTTGTTATCTTGCAAGAAAACACATTGGAGAGAAGTGCCCACAAGAGTGGCAGTCAGACTGCAGCCTGGACATCCCTTCAATTAAGAACCCTCTCCCTAAGCCCTCTTCATGTTCACTGTTGATTCAATATGACATATGCCCAGATCCATGTTCTTTGATTAAGACAGTGAAACACTTGTAGGGTCTCTATTACTGCAAATCTTAAGAAACAGAGATATTTCCATCCTCCTGGTTTTTACTAAATTACTGTGACAAAATACAAGTGACGTAAAACTTTTCATGCAAAGCCACATCTCACATTAAAGAGAAAGGCCATGCTGGCACAGGCACTGTCAGATAAATTTATGCTCCAGCTGGCACGTAAAGGAAAATTAAAAGGGACAAATAGAAAAACTCTTGTTTCACTGCCTTGGGCCATGGCAGCACACTCAGACACTGGAAGCATTGTGAAACATTGCTCCTGGAGTGTTGTCATCTCTTGTTCAGCAGACACCCCAGGAGGCATCCGTCACCATCGACTTAGAGTCCTTCAAGGATGCAGCACACACGTAGGTCTCACCTACATGACAGCAGTGATTGGCTGCAATTTGGACAGTATGAAAAGTTTGGCCAAGGAAACCTGTCTCATAGTCTTTGGAAACTGGAAGAAGAGTGATGTAAAATCATGCACATGCATTCATTTATTTGTCCTCAAAACACACATTTACACTTCCAGTTACTGTTTAAAAGAAACCTAAGTTTTCTGCCAATGAATACTTAAAATGCCCTTTCCAAAAATATTCACACACAGCTCCAAGAAGTATTCACTCTTTAGCAAAGAACTAGGTTAGTATTTAGTGCTCAAATATAATAGGTATTGTTTGCATAAGACTACACTTCTATTTGTGCAGCTCTACTTCAACCAAGACACTAATCCTATTCAATGCAACAGAAGCTTTATTCAATACTGAAAAAACTAGGTTTCTACAAGACTGTCCATACCCAATGCAATATTGATATACCACATTTTAATGAGTTCAAATTAAATTTAAATGGCTTGCTTATGCCAAATATTTCACAATAAAATCTTACATTTTAAGTCTTCCCACCCACTAATTTATGCTCTTTTTCACTGATGACAACTGTATTGTTTCAGCTTAAAAGCATAAAAAATTTGACTTATTGTGGAATTTTATTTCTCTCCATCATGTCCCTTAAATATGTAGTAGATCTTTTTGTGTGCAGATTTGCTAAAAACTTCAAGCCTTGATCCAAAAGAGGTAGTAGCATCTACTTGCTCTCTATTTCAATAAAATTTTACATATATTTTAAAAGAAGTTGCAATTTTATGTTGACTTACTTTTAGGTAATTTAATGTCACTTTAATAATCCTGATATACTTTTTTTCCTTTGGACATGTAAGACTTGCTAGGAAAGACAATGAAAATCCAGACACAGCTGAAAGTCTGTGCTGCTGTGTCCTGGTTCCAGAAAAAATAGAATGGAGCCTTTAATGCTGTTTATTCCATACCACACACATCATCGCTGTGGTCAATGGGGGTGTGGTCCCAGCAGGAAATGCCAAGGAGCAGGAGGGGAAGAGTACCACCTTGCCCAGCACTCTCCAGGGAGAAGGTACTGGGATCAGCCAGGTGGACCTAGCCGCTCTTCACCACCATCAGTCAGTCCCTTTCCCATTCCTCCCAGCTGTGGCTTTAAGATGTGGTGCTGAAGGACAGCAATGCCAAGTCCAAGGTAATATTAGAAAAATATTAGAAAAAAGGAGAGAGAAGGGTCGGCACAGAGCCAAGCTTAGCGAGCCATTCAGAGCCCAAGCCCCAGCAGAGCCGAGTTAGGGCAGCAATGCCAGAGAAAGCTGTGCAGAACCGAACTACTGGAGTGGTCCAGGGCAGCAGCAAGGCACAAGATTCAGAGGGGTTTGCTTGCTCTACTTAGACTGAGCTGGGGAGATGAGAACATGAAGCCACCGGAGCTCTCATGGCCGTTTTGCCTTTGTCTGGAATACATACCACTGTCTCTGGGAAGCATTTCTTCTTTTGCCCCCAGTGTTCGTGGGTGGGACACCCTCTTTTTATATACTTTTCTCGCTACTGATATGGTTATTATGATTTTAGTAAACTGTTATTTTAACTCATCTCAATCATCCCATCTCTCAATCTCATCTTATTGTCTCTCCATTGTCAGAAGGTGCAGGGGGAAAGGGAACAGCTTGGTTGGAGTTTGGTTCCCTGCAATTGTTAAAACCAGCACGTGCTGAAAGTAAAACTTGGATTTGAAAAATGCAAGTTATTCCAAATTAATGCTACCAGACGTGGAATCCCAAATACTCAGAGGGGTATAAAGGCCATGGCTGAGATTAGGAAGGGACTTTACTGCCCTGGGGTACAGCCTGTAAGCATGCAAGGCTTGACTCCGGAGGTATTGAAAACTGGACTGAAGTACTGAACTGGAAACTCCAGCTGCTCACAGTGGAAGGTACTTGCTCTGTTAACAGGTCATTGAGGAGTACCAGACATACTTGAAAACAATCAACAATGCTTTATAATTGGAGTCGTATTTCCCCAAATATCCTACAACTCAGTGAAGCTGGTGAATTAAACTGGATTTAATAACCCAAGTGAGGTTATACTTTAGAGTTGAGAAAAGCAGTGAATAAGCTTATTAAGAAATAGCAGAAAAGCTATTCTGTTTCAGATCATCCGTCTGAAACAAACACAATCAGCAGCTCTGCAAACTGCACCAATACACAAACAAGCTTTTTTTATTATCAAAACCAGCATACCTGGTATCCAGGCATAGCCCAAATTAATACTAGAAAACGCTTGGAGGAATTGTCAAAATCCTGCTAATTAAAAACAACTGTTAGAGCCTAAATTAATTTGATTTAGCAGTTTTCTTTCCAAATGCTATGACTGTACCTTGTTCTAAACAAGGTACACAACTTGCACTTGACCTGTTTCGTAAATAAACATTTACAATTCTTTACTAAACACAACAGCAGAATAACACTGAAAAAAAGTAACATATTCTCATACTGATAGATTCAGCAGTCTTTAAAGCAGAATAATATCCTGTCGTCTTGAACAATAGTACTTAAATACTTAAAATGTGCAATACAGTCTTGTGAGCAAGGGGTTTGGGGAGGAAGGGATTCACTACTACAGGGAAATACCCACTTTATAGACACCTGTAACAATAATCCCACCTCAATAAGCAATGATCTAAACCCTTTATAAGCATTATACAAGAGATAACCACAGTCATTTCCAGTCAGGCCAGTGATTATAACAAAGCAACCCCATGACACAAAGTTAAGTCTAGGTCCCATATTTGTGAAGATGAACTCCTTTGAATTCTGCAGATGAACATTAAAGTACCACTGACCTCAAGGTACACTTGCAAATCACTGCAGAACTACTACCATTCTTCATTAGCATAGGTACTGCTCTGGACACAGCCAAATACATTTATCAGCCTATTTTTGACAATACATGAGCATGCCTTTTACTTCAGCTGCTCATTTCTCCCTGATTATAACACAAGACAATTTATAATAATATTCATTAGTCAGTTATTCCTGAAAAATATGGATGACTGCTTAGAATCACACAAGATCAAAAAATACTCATGTTTTCCACTTTTCTCGCAGTAAATTTATTCCAAGATTCAGCAGCCCCTATCAACAGTAGCTTCACCACGTAATTTAAAAACTGACAGTTGGAAGAATTACGGCTTTGTTCACTGCCTTCTCCCAACAACCAGAACGACGGTCTCATAGACTAAACTGACATCTGTATGAGACAGTACCCAGTGTGCCAAATAATTACCTACCGTCTATTAAATGTGTACTAGCAGTCGTCGTCTGTGTGTCTTGCAGAAATCAAAAGACATAGTGATTCAAATTTGGATAACCAAAGCAGGAAAAAAGCCGAGGTTACCTGAGGAAAAGCTGCGTTAAGAGCGGACACCAGCAGAGACGGCCCTCACAGACGTGCGAGGTGGCCACTGGGGAAAGGCGTGAGAGCGAGGGAAGCCTAACTCCAGCCTCCGAGACACCTTTCCTCTGCATGGTTTATGCAACGAAGGTCTGAGGGAGGTCGCTCCTGCAGCGGAGCAGGAGCACGGCTGGCAGCGGTGTGCGCACGGCTCGGGCCCGCCACACCGCCCGTCACGGCGTGCTGGGGAGGGCAGGGGACGCGGGCGGGACCGTAGCCGCTCCCCCCTTAGGCGAAGGGCACTCTTCAACAGTGAGCGAGCGAGAGGGAAGAGGGGCTGAGACTCAGTCGTGGCCGTCCTTCGCCTCACCTCAGCTCCCTTCCCCAGAGGTCGCCCTCCCACCTCTCTTCACCTCAGCTCCCTTCCCACCTCATCTCCTCTCCCCAGGGATTACCATACCTCCCGCCCGACCTCTTCACCCGGCCCTTTACGCAGAAGGGCGACGCGAGCCGGCACTTACCGCGCTGCTGTCGCCGTCCTCCGTCCGCTGGTCCTGGATCCTGCCGGCGGCGGGCGAGCCCTGCAGCAGCTGCTCCAGGCAGGCGGTACTGGGCAGCGAGGAGCTTTTCTGGTGGGACAGGTGCGCCCCGGGCCGGCGCCCCTCCCTGCCGCCCGCCGGCCCCTCACAGCCGGCGGCGGGCTCCGGGCGGCGGCTGGCCGGCGGCCCCTTCCCTTGGGGAAGCAGGTGCTCGCGCAGGCGGCGCAGGGTGGAGCCGGACTCGCCGGCCGGCTCCAGCGGCTCGGCGGCCGAGCAGCACAGGTTAGGCTGCGAGGACGAAAAGACTCGGTCTAGCACTTGCCGCCGCCTCTTGAAGCCGCTCCACTTGCCGCCAGGCTGGAGGTCCCCCTTGCCGCCGGCCTGCGGCGGCGGGGCGAGGGGCTCCGCAGTGCGGCGCTCGGCAGCTGCCCGCCCGCCGCCGCTCCGGCCCTTGCCCCCCAGCTGCAGGTTCTTCCACAGCCGGGCCTGGAAGGAAGTCGCCGGCTCTGGTTCGCTGGGCTTCTCCCCCGTGGTCACTCGGGGCTCCTTGCCTGGCTCCATCCTTCTCCTCCTGCGACGGGGGCGGCGGCAGCAGCAGCAGCAGCAGCAGCAGAGCCCGCCGGAGCCTGTCGCCCTCTCTCCGGTGCGGGGCGGGCCGAAACGGAGCGGCGCCCGCTGCCGGAATGAGCGCAGGGCTCCGCCGCACCGCCCCCCGCCCAGCGTGGCGCGCCCGAGGGAGGATGGTGCTGCAGTCGTGATGCTGAAGATAAAGGAAGGACGAAGCTGCCACCCTGGCCCATCTGGGCAGAAAGTTTGCCACCCTAAGCCCACCACCCTGGCTGGTCCCTTGGTGGCGGAGGGCGGCGCGAAGCCCGGCAAAAAAGTTACCGGCGAGGTGTAGGCGGAGCGGCGGGTCGCATATAGATATATGCAGCAATCCATACGAGGACTTGGCGGGAGGGGGCCTGCCCTGCCCATCTCCCCACCTGTTTCCTGCCGTGCAGAGGGCCTCCACGTGCGGGATGCTGGGAGGGCGCACGGCCCGGAGGCCGCGCTGGCGGAGAGGGAGCGCCCCGGTGCTGCAGTCTCCGTGGGGCCGGGAAACACCCCGGTCCCTGGGTGAAGGAGGGAATATGAGGCGGCTCCCTAGCCAGCAGGGATCATCCCTGACCTGCGGTAACTTTGTGGATGGAAGGTTCAGTGGAATTTGCTCACACACGTACAGAAAGCGCTACTGGAAATAGCGGCCTCGTTCCTGGCTCTGTCCTTCAGAGGCAGCAGTGGGTACAGAGTGCAGAGCCGGCCCGGCAGCACCCGCCACGTACGGGGGAAAAAGCCCCACAGCTCGTCTGCCGTTCTTGTCTTTTTTAAATGAAAAAAATAATAAGTTTTCTTATCATAGTATGCTGTACTGTGAATCGCTGTATTTTTGGATATTTATTTTTTAATTCAAATCACACCAGCAGTGTGACTTTAGAACAAATCTTACGTTCCATGAAGCAAACAAGCAAAAGAAATATTTTTATGTCGAGTGAGCCATACCTTTTGCACTGTGCTTTCGGGTATCATTTATAATGACAATTCTCACTATTGAGGATTTGGCCTCCTATATTCAAATTCCCCAATAAAGTTTGCAACCAGGCATTTGACAGTACAACTTTTGCTGAACAGAATATGAGAAAAATTAAAAGTACTTAGATAAAATGTGTGCTTCCAAATCATCAGGGCCTTGGGAATTCAATCTACAATATTTGAGAAAACAGCCAAAATAACCTCTGAACCACCGAAAATAACCAGGTTATTTTTGAGGAGTCTTGCCAATTAAGTGACGTTTTAGGACCAGAAAAAAAGCCAAAGATAGTCGTAGGGAAAAAAAAAAACAAAAAACAAACGAACTTAAGATAGAAAATTATAGATAAGTCAACTGACTTCAATCCAAGTGAATCCAAATAATCAGCTTCTAACTATCTGAAAGCAAAAGCATCAGGTAGCAAAGCTCAAATGGATCAAGGTCTGGAGGAAACTTGTGTCCAAATGTCTGAGTGGACATCTTTAAATCCAAAAAGTAATTTGCTGAAATGAAAACTCTTTAAAAGATTTGTTTTCTTTTAAATAATGAGTTTACTCAATAGGAAGGAATCAAAAAAATATTTTTTTTAGCCTTTTTCACTCTCCTCAGCTACACTGGGGAGAATGAAAAAGGCTAAAAAATATTTCAATATATTTATCTGCCTTGTGTTTGACTCTTTTTATTTCCACCTTACACTTAAAACATAAAATAAGCAGCTTTTCAGATAAGTTTTCTGTTAAAGTGATGACTCTTCACAAAACCGATAGATATTAGAAGACTTAAACAGTGTATTCAGAAGAATTTACTTTACTAAATATACGGAACTACTCATATCTTTAAATGACAGCTATTTTAACCAGTGATCATATTTTCCTACCAAAAAAATCCAACAAAAACCAAAACAAACAACAACAACAAAAACACACAAAAGAAAAACCCCGACAAAAATGTGTTGTTTGTTTAGACACATTCCCTTCAGCAACTAATCTTGGAAGCTTCTAGTCTGGGAGGAATGTACACAAGCCTCCATGTGGCTTCTGCTGTGTTTTTATGACCCATACATTGAGTGGTTCCAAGTAACATACTGACAGGCCTCCTGATTCTTTTTCCACAAATGCCAGCATAAATTTTCCTGATATTAAAATTGTGTCATTACCAAATCTGTCTAACCTGCCTCCTTTATATCGAACCAGCAAGTAGACTTGCTTACAAAGAAAAGGGTCAAAGTATCTTTGCCTATTTAGTTGCAGAAACACTAATTGTCCTGGGGCAAAATCTGTCTGGGTTGACAAGACAGTAAAAGACTGTGCTGCAACAGGCCGAGTGGGATTATTCTAAAATTAATTCAGATCAGGTCGCCGTAAACAGTTTTATAACACTGTAATTCTGCACATTGAATTACCGGAGTTATATTCATTTATTGAAACAGAATTTGGCAGAAAGATCACAGCAAAAACTCAAGCTACATTCAAACAGAAATCTCAGCATTTAGAAGAACATGGATTTAACACCTGCACAGATGAGAACAATACTTCTAAATATACAGGTAAACCCTTATTAGCCTTATAAATAAGGATATCTGAAAATATTTCTTTATGCCATATAGCTTCAGTATTTTGAAACCTAAAATAAAACAGGACAACAGTGACAGCAAAAGGAATTGTTTGGTATTTCAAACTGAAACCCGAGAAGATCAAGAATGTGTTCTCTATTTCCAGCATATCAGCTAAACATGTCAAAAAAGGAAGAACATTTTCTGAGGAAGGCAACTATCAGTCTCCTCAGAACTGTATTTCACATATATATATATATATATATATATATATGTCATTAAACAGTTTAATCTAAATTTATAAAACGAATGTACCACTCAAAGCTAGGCACTGTGCATTTAAAAAATATGTATTTTCTAATACTTTTTCAGTCTATGACCCAAAGCCCCAAATTTCTCCAATCCTTTAGATCAAATAAAAGTTTTTGGTTTGATTTTGCTTATTTCTTGAAAATAAAAGAAGTTACTTTGTAGCTTCTGATATTTAGGTCATTATATATATGTATCTATATCTAGAAATAGACTTAATTTTTTTAGTTAACACCTCTGTTTGAAACACCCTTCCTTTTCCCATCATTCAGAATGCAGCAAAGATGGTAATATTTTTAAATACATACTAGACATTTATCAGGAAAGTATTTGTTTAAAGATGGCCTTACGCTCAAAGGCTGAGTATTATTATGATCTTCTCAGACTGGAACCATATTTTTAACCCCATTTGCACATTATTTTACCTTATTCTTTCTCAATGTTTCTTCAGCATGAATTATTATGTATTTGTGTTTCCTTTTTTTCATCCGAGTTATATTTCAGTTCTATAACACAATTTTAAAGTATAGCCTTGAATGTTGTGTTTTGCTTGTTTTTTCCTCCACATTAACAATGGAACATTGTCATCCCACTAATGCAATTTAGGTCTTGGATGATAAACAGTATCTCAGATGATTTCTCCTCAACCTGTTGTAAGCAAGTTTCACATTTTGAAGATAAACATGTACTCTTTAACTCTTCTTGTCCATGGTTATTTTTAACTGAAGTCTTGTAATTAAGTTTCAGCATTAAACAAGAAATACAGTATAGAACATTGAAGCCAGAATAACTGAGAGCTTTGAAATTTTAGAAGTATTTAAACTGTGTCACATGATTTGAAGCTTCAGGCAAACTTAGCTAATAACAGTATTATAAATCCTGTCTTCACCCACAAGGACAATAATGAGTGCATTTCTTCTTGGATTTTATACAGAAAATTATGCTTCTGCCACATATGGCTTCTATAATGTGATTAAGCATAGCATCTCACAAAGCCAATTGTAGCTTAGCTCTGCAAAATGCTTCATTGCCTTAATGTAGTTTTGAATATTTTTAACCAGCTATTAAATTTTTCGGGATGTAACAATGATAATATAGATTCAGCCATTAATCTAGGATACTGCAGGCTTCAAAACGTTTTTGTGAAGCAGGGAGACCTTCTTTATGGGAAAGTACTGTAAAGATTTTTAAGTTGCACTGTTATGAAAAGTTGATTCAATTTACTGGAGATTGATTTCCCCTCCTTTCATGTACATCTTTGTCTCAAATATTTTAACCATATTGTTAGCTTTCTTCTCATATTCTTTAGCTATTTGTTTGACTGTTGGTTTTGATCGCTAGCACAGGTCTTCTAATGACATTTACTGGAAGGTCTAGTGCAGCTCCTGGGAATAAAGGAAAGAAAAAGTCAAGTCACGGAGTTCAGCACTCATCTATATAAGTGCAGCATTTCAAATCATGTGGTCAGCCCATACACCAGTCTACACAAAACGGTGGAAAATCCAGCAAGACATTCTCAGGGCTGAGAAGAAGCAGGCTGCCCCTAGGTACCAAGATCTGGCACTCCTTCTGATGTTAGCAGACGTTTCACCTTCAGAAAGGGAAAAAAGAGGGAGTAATGGCTTTAAACTGAAAGACAGTAGATTTAGGTTAGGTATTAGTAAGAAATTCTTCACTGTGAGGGTGGCGAGGTGCAGGAACAGGCTGCCCAGAGAAGCTATGGATGCCCCAGCCTGAAAAGATTCATTGTCAGACTGGAAGAGGCTCTGAGTGACCTGGTCTAGTGGAAAGTGTGTCTGCCCATGTCAGGCAGTTGGAACAAGATTACCTTTAAGGTCCTTTCCAGTCCAACCATTCTAGGAATCTATGATTCGGATTGCACCACTGAAGGTACAGATCTTTTTTTTTAAAATGAGATCTGGCCTAGTTTTTCATCATCAATATTAGTACTAAATACCAGGGTTTAATTTAGAAGTTTTCAGAGTGAATCTTTTTGGCAGTAGTCCCTGACAGCTTCCACGTCTCTGTTGAAGCATCACCAATGGTGAACCTTTTTCGATTCCTGGTAGTTCCTGGTAGTCTCCTGTTTGCTCTGCAAAGATGTATGAGGAACTGAGTATGTATACCAAG